ACTGTAGACAACAAAATAATGTGCGTCTGTTGATGTTGAGATGGGGCTAAATCATTCTGTCTTCGAGGGCAATTTAAACAAGAATAACTCTCAAACCGATTATTTAACCAAATCGGCTAAGTCAAAGATGAAAAAATGCTTTAAAACGGCAAGATTTGAAAAGGTTTAGACAAAGACAAGTGGTAGTATGGCGGAATAGGTCTTAGTGATCGCAAATGAATACAGATTCCCGAGTAAATGATTTGACCGAATCTGATAACTTTATGCAACTTTGAACTCTTCGTCACAAATACCAGTAATTGTGCAGAATTTGCTCATTAAGTTGTTTTTGCTACGCGTCATCAAGAAAAAACGCTCGGAAAATGCCAAGTCATTGGTTTTTTTTTAATTTCTGAAAAAAAACTGCACAAATGACTCAACCTACTGTTTTCGCACAACCAGCCATAATGATGATTTCCTTTGCAAAACAAAGCCATTTTTTTCCGAACACATCCGCTAGATGAACAAGCGCATTCCATTGCATTCCTGTCATCTGCTGTTCCTTGCAAAGTTAACACTGCTGATACAGACAATGGCGCTAGACTGATCGACTTGGTCTTCATTAAAGAGCGTATTTTGAGCATTCCAATCGACGTTTGAGTTTAAATAACCGCTTTTTGAGGCATTTTTGAACGTGGATGTGATTAAGGTCGAATAACATGGGGATTACACACATTTGGAGTAAATTTAGCTAATTAAAAATCTACCCACGTTACTACTGATTCTTATTTCCCAAATTTGGGATCGAAACTGAAATAAGACAGTTTACAAACTCTCAGATGGTCGAAGTAGACTGTTAAAGCAAGTAAATTGTTTACAGGACGAAAAACTATTTGCAAGATTTGCGGTAGTTTTTGACTTCTATAAGTAAAACACCGGGGACACAGTAACAGGAACGTATTGGTGAACATTAAATTTTTGTTTATTTGGTAATCTAGTAAATGCTGATTTTAAAAATTACTTATCGGCGAATTTTGGCCTAGCTTTCATCATTCACAAAGATCACCGAGGTCGGCTTTTAAATCGTAGAAAAATTGAGGGATTTTAATTGCAAACACGCAATCTTTTTTGGGTGGCCCGGTCGTTACTTACCTCCATCAGATGCGTTGATGTTGAATTGGCAAGACTGATATGTTAGTTGGATTTTAAAAGTCTAATGAGAATCTACAAACGCGAATTAATCCGAGGTTAGTGGAGTGCAGTCTACAATAGTATTAACATATTCTTGTTTTAATGTGAAGTTCGAGCAATGTCTGACCTCCAGAAAGAAGGTTGAAATTAATCAATAATCACAGATTGACAGACAAATTGCGTATTATCTAGGCGGACCAATCAAATCGACAGGATAAGGTGGTGCAAATTTTTAATTAATCGCTCTTGTTTATTCGTTAAATCCCGATTTTACCAATCCGAAGTGACGCAGACACTGCGCACTTACCTACAGACAGGTTTCACACAATATAGATGTGTTGGTTGGTTGTGAGGCTTCATTAAAAATACTAAACTATGCCAATTACCAGGTCAGTGTGAGGGAAATACCCATTTGAATGGATTTTGTTAATAATAAGCAAGAATAATTATGCCATGAATATTAACAAGATTTCAATTATTCATGTTAATTTAAAGTTATTTAAAAAAGAGCATTAATTTTGCACCACTGAGGTGCTTCTGCAATCAAAATTGAACATGTAAACTATATCGATTAATGTTCATTTCACCACCAATAAAAGCTACCTCCTGTTTCAATATAACAATCAAACAATTCGCTGGAAATAATGTTTTTGAATTTAACTGGAACCATGATTCTTAGTTCAGCCCAAATCAGCAGTCAGAATTTAAGGTAACTCCAGTCAAGAAAATTTGAAATTTAAAAATGACGTACAATAAAAGGGCTGCGGATGTGGGAACGCTTTAACTCGGCTCGATGTCGCCTTTTTATGGGTCTTTTCCTGTCGCCCATGGGATGACCTTGAAGTCCCGGTGCCATCCTGGTGGTTGATTTCCGGATCCTCGGAAACCCCACTCTGAATATTCCAACCGACGGACACATCTTCAGGCCTGGTGTTATCATTCCACATGAATTCCGTGTCTTCAGGCAAAGTCCGTCGATTTCCAAGGGATTTTCTGTTTCCCGACGGGTTTCGAGATCGATTTCCCGCTGCCTGATACATGGGTTTGGCATAGTACTCGCCAGGAGTTGACGAAATTTAAACAAAAAATTTCCCAGAATTATCTCTCGTGATTGCGTTTTTATCGGCGAATGTTGTAGTAGTCCACAATGCAGAGGGTCGCATATTTCATGTGCCACCTTGGCTTTCGAACGATTGTGTGTGCGTATGCGTGTATACGCGCCGTAGTAGCAATTACCACCGTCTATCGGTCAGTAGCCGTGCGTGTATGTTCATTCGGGTTAGTGCGCACACGCACTCTTGTTGCAGGCGTTTCATTGGCTGTCGGCTCGAATGCACACGCACGCATGGCTTGACAGGCAAAGGACATGGGAATTTTCCAGTGCGCGCGTGCTTGCGTTCATGACCAAGTGTTTCGTAACTTCTGACGTGGACAAGGTTAACTAGGATGCTGGAGGAAGCATTACGCCATAATCTCGAGGTAAAATGACGGTTTCTGGGCTAAAACGAGGCCGGAATGCAAGAAAACGCGTTCTGATTGCCTGATTTTGCAGATGAAACCAAATTTAAATGCCGCAGCCAATCAGAATGTTAAGAATGACGAAATAGCAGCTGTCTGAGATCTGGCTGGCAGAATAATGTCATCAGTTAAAAATCATTTTTAACCTACGAGTTGATTTACGAGGTATCAGATGGACGCACGAAGGATGCGAAAAGGCGGAACGCAACGAATGAAACGGTCATATTGGATTCTCATTAATGACTTTGCACTATAAACGTAGGTTACATACCAACTGAATGCGCACATATTTGACATTTGCTACTTATCTGCACTTCAAATAATCAGTTTCATAAACTAGCCGATTGTAACTAGTAAGTAGTATATTCTAATTGGGTTGGCATCCTAAATTGCATCCAAAAGCTTAATTACTCATAAAATCAAGTGGATCACGGTGGGTCCAGCGAATTGTTCAATTTGTCTCGGCGAGCACCAATTAAAACAAATTAATTTCACTTGAAATTAAGTCCCAATCCGCATAAGAGCCAATTTTAAACATCAGTATTTAACAAAGCCCGATCCGTTCAAACCAAAGAAAGAAATGAAATTTCCCAAGTAGGTAAGTGAATGAGCTTTCAGTCGATTTTCGAACATTCTTGTCGTATTACGTTGTAAGGCAATTAAACGTGGAAAGCTACGCTTCAGTAATGTTTGGTTTGATTAGTCTTTAGAAAGGATAACGCTGTCGAACTGCAGCCTAATGCATTCAAGACTTGCATACGATACGTGCAACTGTGTATTCGATGGTTGGAAAATAATGACTGAAATCGCCAAGCTGGACGTCGCTCTAGACAAACAAACCAGTCACCTCATTAGTGATTTGGTGACGAATCAGAATCCACAGACTTCCACTGATGAAATGTCGGCAGTTCGTGCGTCTTTCACAAGTTCAAGCAACTGGGCCGCCATTCCAAACTCGGCATTCGCATTCCACACGTTTCGACAGAAAGCAACCACGTGATGCGCGTTTTCACTGATAGCCTCCTCCTCCTCCTCGTGCACGTCAACATAATGAACCTGCCACGCATCACGTCGTATCTTGGCATGAGGGTGCTTCGTGAACATCACAAGTGCAGAATGTAGAAGCCAGCAGCTGGAAAGGGGGCAAGCAGAGTCCACGACAATTCTGCGTATCTGCACTGACTGAATGTGCTGTCGTGTGTGTGGTAGGGCGATTACGAGGTTTATCCATGTGGACCAACACTAACTGTGGAGAATGGATGCGAGACACTAACCCAACTGAGCGTAGATATCCAATGAAAGCGACCCATTTCGGTCACCTGAGTGGCATCATCATGTACCACGGAAGCGCTAGACCCTACACCACTCAACAGACACCACGGAAATTTGAGCCTCAACGTGAGAAGTCCTTCGGCAGTACACACTCAATTCCTCTAACCTTGATCCTTGACGATCTGGTCGCTTTCGTCGTCCACAAAGCGGTTTGAAGCTGCTTTAATGGCCGATAATACACGCCACCTACGACTTGCCTTGAAGAGAAACCGCACCTCTTCACCGATGAAGAAGGCAACCCACCCCTCTTAGTCGATGGTGTGGAGATTGAGGACTACAATTAGGACAGCTAGATGCTCCTTCTAATGACGATGTGGTCTATTTTAATTAGATTTCGATTCGAACGCCAACGCTTGCAATCGTCAACCCAGACTCACGTGAAGTGAGGCCTTAAACGTGATCCAACGATTGTAGTTTGCGACAGTCGGTCCAAATTCGATTCGTTTCATTGTTTTGCTTGGATAATTTGGTTTTCTGCTAATCTGCCTCACACCCTAAGCTTCGTTGTTTAAAAATTTGCTAGGATCGGCTGTCTTAAACTCGGTGACCGAATTCTGGCAATTGACGGGATTCAGACGAGGGAGCTTACGTGCGAGGAGTCAATGCGGCTCCTTTCGTCTTATCGCAATGGAATTTCGCTCTTCATTAAAAACGACGTTGCTGATGTCGCTAGCCAAGCCGATCCTCAACTCCCTCCTCATTATCCTCACACCCAGGTCTCGATGTTCGCGCATGTATGACTCACACATCGAGGCGTAAATACACACGCACAAACCCCACACATGACACCAAAGTGGTTGAGCTCTGAAGTAAACGGTTGTGTCCACGTCCTCTCCGATCTTTTTCTTCATCGCGAGTATCAGGGAAGCGTAATCGGGCCAGGGTTAATTCAGTGGCCCCGGCGTGGTTCAAGACCACATGCGGGGATCCACAACATCCTGATGTCTCAGCGTCTCCATTGGTCATGCGTATTTGACCTTGACGGAACGCATGGACACACCATCCGACGTTTCGCATTGTCTTTGTTGTCGTTCTATTCCATCACGTCTGTCTGTCGGCGTTTAAGCTGCTGCAGTTTAAAAACTTATCTAATGGTGGATGACTTGAATAGTGCTCCAAATAACCCAGTATAGTAAAACAAAGGACAAATCAGGGTGAATATATTGAAGTGTCCTAACCCCGTATCCCATATGAATACCAGCAAATTAGTTTAACATTTGAACGTGTACCTTCGTTTAGAGTGAGGAAAATTTCTACATTTATTGTTCTGAATGCCAAAGTTTGCGTAATTTCTGATTAAAATGAAATCAAAATCTATCAACAATTGCATAGAATAATCACTTTTTGTCACCAGAATGTCGACAAACGGGACATCTGGCTTCTTGTGAAATGCCAAAAATTACAGAAGATGAAACAAAATGACTAAACGTATCCTGGATGTAAAGCGACAGCCCACTTTACGCCTGTCAGACATTTTAACTTGCAGATTTAGGGCAGGGTGAATCAGTGATGACCAAAATACACACGGTCAGAGTGAATAGAGCAGTTTCTGCGCATAAATGTCAGCCAACACGGCGCGTAACTATTTGCAGCCCCATGCCACAACTAGAAACACATCCGTTTGCGTCCCGCAACACCGCCACGAGATAGAAAAACTACGGTATCTTGGCGTTCGAATAACAGGAACTAAGGCGATAACCACAACAACACCATGCTGTTTTTTTTCGCTGTGATTGGTCGAATCTCAGGTGCGACCAATCGAATTACAGTTGGTGCAGAGCACAATGTACAGTGATTTGTATCACATTTTGGTGTCGCTAGAGATCGGGTTGTCAAACCACAAGTCCCACTAAAATCAATACCTGACTCTGGAGAAGGAAGCACGCAAAGTTTGATCGATTTTGCTGTCGTGCTTTCCAGGAGGTCCATGGCTTCGTGGAGAGTTAGGTCAGTTGAACGACGATCGTTGATGGATTCTATCAAGTCACCAACTTCTAGAACTCCACATCTGCAATAAAAGACAGCAATTATCATCACCATCATCTTTTTTGATGATGTAAATATTGGTAATTGACGACCTCGAAGTCTACATTTCTGGGTTACCTGTAAGCTCACTGTTTTATAATACAAAACAAAGAAACAGAAATTTATCAAATCACCATCTCCAGAATTGAATCTGTGAGTTGAGACTCATTAAGTGGCTGCCACTCTTACCTGTCTGCAATGCTGCCGTCTCGAATGTGACTTATGAGGAGTCGCCTGTAGCCGTGCGCAGAATCACCGAATGCCACTAGATCCGCTCCAAATTTCTCTGTTGGAAGTTTCTCAATTTCCACTGAGAACGGACCTGTACCTTTGCGACCTCCATGAAATGTAAAAAAATAAATCAGAAATCTTATTAGGATTGACCAATTTTTCATAATTTCCAAGTTTTCGTAATCGGATCGGCTAGACAAGATAGGATTCATTTTTGGTCCTGTTCAAATAAGATATTTGAAATATGAGACCGGCTACCTAACCAAAACATACTTTGTTTGAGTGCTTGGTTAAAACAAGGTCAAATGCTATCTACCTTCGAAGTGCCCAATCAAACGACATGTCACGAGGTTAGTTCAAGGTCACTAGAGGGGAAGCTTGACGGGACATAGGTGACATGAACTCAGATTTCTGAAAAAAGGCAAAATTCATTCAAACAAATTGTTCTGTAAATGGCAGGTTTTGTTACATTTGATTAAAACAAGACAAAAACAGCATGCAAATTGTTGTCGTGAATATGAACCTCAAACCATTCGAGGCAAATTCTCCCTATTTGTACATTCGCTACAATCTTAACCTATTGATTTGTTTAAAATTAAATGCATGCATTCTTTCTGTGATTGGATGATTACATGGTGGCTTTGTTTATTCAAAGTTATTTTTAATCAGTCAACGAAACTAATTAGAGTAAAGGCATACTGCCAAACACCGATAATTTTAAAGGAATTATCTAAAAGGTCTGTACGAGCCATAAATTCAAACAGAATTGATATTGGCGCCTAAAAAATTCCACCCCTGTGTTACCAACTAGCCCACATGCACACAGAGATGTAGAATCCGGGCATTTGGACGTGTTGGCAGGCAGATTTGTAACAAATCATGCGGCTTTGCTTGTCTTGTCGTGAACACCGGTCTAATATGGCGTTTTCTTTAACTATGCACCCCACAGACGCTAACAACACCACCACCACCACAACGAACCTTCCACAAACACACGCATGAATTTATATTATGGTCGCAGATGCGTTGGCGCTTTTGCAAAACATACCCTGGCGCAAGAACAGTCATTTGTAAGTGGCAGTGTGTGAAATCAAACCACAACTCACACAGTCGTTTAAACGACAGTAAGACAGCAGATTTCATCTACCGCGACCGCACAAAACCCAAATGTCCTCGCTTTGGCATCACTTTCATACTAAAAAACGGGGCCAGCATGCACTTATTTTGCTTAAGAACCATGGAAAAAAGCGGACTAGTTGCAGTGTAGCTCAAGGTGGGAAAAAAATTCAAAATTACGGAATCCAAGTCACCTCCAACGTCGGCAACGTCGTATTCAATGAAGAGCGAAATTCCATTGCGATAAGACGAAAGCAGCCGCATTGACTCCTCGCACGTAAGCTCCCTGGTCTGAATCCCGTCAATTGCCAGAATCCGGTCACCGAGTTTAAGGCATCCGTTCCTAGCAAATTTCAACCAGCGAAGCTCAGGGTGTGAGGTAGATTACCACAAAACCAAATTATCCAAGTAAAACAATGAGACCAATCGAATTTTTACCCACTGTCACAAACCAAAAATAGAGCGCTTTTGAGGCCTCACTTCACGTGAGTCTGAGTTGATGATTGCAAGCGTTGGCGTTCGAATCGAAATCTAATTAAAATAGACCACATCGCCATTAGAAGGAGCATCTAGCTGTCCTAATTGTAGTCCTCAATCTCCACACCATCGACTAAGAGGGGTGGGTTGCCTTCTT